TGTGTTTGCGTTTGCGAAGCTTAGTGCGCGACGTTCACGGCCATCCAGTCTCAGTACGTATATGTAGGTGCTTCTCGAGCTTGTGGCCGTTGGGTACTTCATGCCACTCGTTTAAGATCGTGACAGTTCCAGCTTGTGCCTTTGAAAAGCCTGGCACGATGCAGCGTGAGTGGCTGGCCTTTTGGCCATTCGCAGCCCTTTCAAGGTGACGTGGCAACTGTCGTACTGTCCTTGCCAGAAACTTCTCTTTTTGCCGGGGCATCCCCAACAAATCGAAGCTCCTGAAACCCCCAAAGCTTTTCCCAAGCTTTTCCAGGATGCCCGGGCGGTTCTAGGGGCCCTCCATTGAAAAGCACCCGAGACATCTGAGCAGCCCCGAGCAAGCTTCAGCGCTTCTTCAACGCCCCTCCGATGCCTCCTCTGTATTTCTGACCGTGGTCTTACCGTCTTACCCCTTCTCCTCCAGAACCTCCCGAACCTCCCGGAACCTCGAGGCAACGTTGAAGGACATGGGCTGGAAGCTTCCGGCCAATGTCGTGGAGCGTCTTGGCCGGAACTTTACCAACCTGGGTGAGGGTAGGTCAGGGTCGGGAGGCCAACGTGCCTAAGGATTCCTTCGCTCCTTTTGATATTAACTTTGTTTGTTGCTGGGATGTTGTGCTGACCTGCCTTGACCTTGCCACTGCAAAATCTTACACCCCGATCGGGGATTACCAGGAGTTACTGAGTGCCACTGATCCTCGCAGAGGAAGAGTGAGCTCCTGGCCCTAGTCGAAGAAGCCGAAAAGCAGAAGGTCCGGAGATGCCCCCGGATTCGGAATTGTGTTGCGTTTCACAGCAATACACTTGTGCCCACGATGTCCTGGATGGCTACTTTCTAAGCATTGGGATTTGAGAGTATGTTGCTTCCATGCTTTCCACCTAGCAAACCCACAGCGGCCGTAAAGCTTGCGACATGCATTGACTTTTTGGTAGCTACTGGGGATTCCCTTTTGGTGGCGGCTCGGTTCAAGTCGGTTCCGTTCTCGCAGTTCGAGTTCTGCGCCCACGCCCTGTGGGAGGCAGCCAAAGATGCTGCACGCGAGGCTTCAAAAGGCTCGAAGTCTGCCCCTTCCAAGCCATGCTTGCTGATGTGTGCTTCAGGGTTCCAATTTTCGGGACAGGTCGCTCACAAAGCGTTGAAGTTTAAAGGTCCTGATTGTGACATACCATTGTAGTGCCTGCATGTTGTGTTGTGTGTGTGTAGGAAGGGCAACACCAAGCCGGTCTGTGGGCGAAATGAAACGTCGCCTCAAAGAGCCGGACCCTCAGTTTAGGGCATAGGTTGCACGGTTGCATTATGCACTGAAAACGGTTTGGCCCTTCAGAAGTGGCCATGATTTTTTATTGCATTTCTCTTGCACATACCTGGCAGAGTAAACAGAGCCAGCAAGGGCAAATCTTGGCAGCGGGTGCAGATTTCGATGTTTAACAGGATAAGCTGCACAGGCGTAGTCTTATAACAAAAACAGAGCCAAGCTATGGTACAGCTGAGGCTTGGTTTCAAGGTGCCGGGTAGCATCATGGAAAAGAGCGAGTGGCTTGGTCTGAAATTCTGAGATAAAGTTGTCGAAGCACTCTCCAGGATTCAGAACATTGATTCAACTCTCGTTTCACTCGTCTCACAGTATCCCACATTCTGTGTCACAGCTGGAGCTTCCGCCTGGAACCATGTTGGCAAGGCTGCGGGCTCTTCTCGACGAAGCCGAACGACAAGTATGTGCTTGGCAGAAGAATGGAGGTGCGGTGACTACCGGCTGGAAAGACTTTAAAAGTGGGGTGACCTGAGGTGAGGTCTGATGGCAGGATTCATGAACAGTTTAGCCGCAGGCCCTGGGATGAAATGTTAGGGCACTCCCAATTTTTCCTTGTTCTGTTTGGAGGAATCCAAACCGGCCTTCGGTTCGTTCCCCCAAGCCCTAAACATCTCTCCTGGGTTGGCAAATGTACATTCTCGGAGTTGCCAGGGCGCCCCATGGCTCCTCCGAAAGCGGCAGCAGCCACTGGGCTTGAGCTTGCCACAAGGTAGAAAGGGGCCAATTACTTGTTCCCAATAGTGGCAACGCCTATAGAAGCTGGAGTGCTCGAGCCGCTTTGCAGTCGATGCGACGGACGAGAAGACGTTACGCCACGAAACGTGACAGGCACAAGCGAGGTGAGGCACGAGCCGAGACTCGAGACGAGCGAGCCACGAAGCGTGACCACCAAAAGCCAACGGCCATCACGAGGCCTTCGACACGCCTGACCCCTCTGACACTTCTGACATGCAAAGCAGGATGCCCACAGGGTACTGCAAAACGATGCACAACAGCGTGTTTCCCAGTGTTCAGCTAGCTCAAACTGTCAGAGTTGTGTAAACACTGTGAAACTGTCAAAACTGTCAGCTCCGTGCGCAGCCCAGCCCTGCATTTTTTAGAGAATTCTCCCAGGTAAAACTCGGTTCCCAGCTCCGGGACTTGGGAGTTGCACCGGAGCACGTCGTGGAGGAGAAGGAGACCCGAAGACCCGGAGACCCCCCCGGTTTTTGGCAGGCTTTTGTGCTTTTGGCACAAGCTTGTTGGTGGATTTTGTTGGGATGTAGTTGTGCGACTTTGACATGCCAACTCTACCTTAAGCTTGAAGTGAGGGGAGAATCCTCTCATGATAGTGCAACAATACAGAGAAGATTCGCATGGCCCTTGTGCAATGATGATTTCCGCAATCCAGAATCGAAACTTGCCTGCCAACGGCTGAAATACGTTGAACATGTGCAACATTGCCTGCAGCTTGTGAGCACAGCAGCATAGCATCCGTTGTGGTTAGCCTTGGCCTTGTGTGACCGGCCCTTGCGTCCCCGAAGGGCTGCTTGTGCGGAACTTCAGGTTATCAGCCGTGACCGACATAGACATGTGTGAAGGGCAACGCGGAGGTAGGTAACCGTGTGACGGGTAACAGGCGCCCTTTCCACCCACTCAGTGGGGCAGAACGGGGTGCCGCTAGCTTTTGCCAACCCTTTCACGAACGGCCCAAGGGTTGCCTGGAAGACTTTAAATGCCCTTTAAATGCTTGAAAATACACTGAACTGTGTGTGTGTGTGCCTTGAAGGAGGTGCGCAGCTATTTATCCGAGGCAACCTGGCTGGAGCATGGGGCCGATTCTCCAAATGGGTCCAAGGTATTTCAATAGCCGAGGCCGTCCAGCGGCAGCCCAAGGTGCAAGCAGTGGCCAACGAGGTGCCAGCGGATCTGTTGCTCACTTTAGACTTGCCTTGTTTTTTCCATGCATACACAGCTCAGAATTGCAGATGATTGCTCAAACAGAGAAGTTCTGTCACGTGCTGCTTTTTCAACGCTGAAGTGTCGTGGTGCCAGGAAGGTGTGATGCTGACCTGCACTCGTGGGCAGAGTGGGGTTGCTGAAATCCAGGCCAGCGTGGGCTTTCACGACCGTGCAGCCGTTCTCACCCTGGTTGCAGTGTGTTTGAGCCGTCGGCGCTGACCACGGCTTGCATATGGACTGGAAAAGAGGAGGCTTTAAAGTGTGCCTGAAGCTTGTGCCAGGTTCAGTCCCATCGCCAAGAGCCCTCTTCCAACGCAGCCCCTTGTCAGATGCAGCCTTCTTCCGGCCATACTTCAGAGGTAGTAACCAGGTAGTAGTAGCGTGTCATGTCTAGGCCGAACTTTGGGAGCGGGGAGTTTTACGCAAACACCGTGGCCACGTTGGGCCGTGTTCACCGAACACGACATGGGACGAGTCTCTGCCTTTCTTGATGTCTGGTGCAACCTGGAGCAAGCTCGTGCAAGCTCGTGCAAGCACGAGGCTGAGAGCAACATCGAGGTGCGAGGAAGTGCAGAGACTGTCTCAGAGACTTTGTTCGCGGTTGTCACGCCCGTGATTCCGCATGTTGCACTGTGGGCCAGGCCGAGATCTCTGTGGACCCATCGACCCTGCAACGTGGCGACAGCCTCGGGCATGGCCGCAGGCTCAGAGTGCAAGTTGACTCGGAAAAGAGGCCCTTTTAAAGAGGCCCTCTTAAAGAGGCCTTCAGATCTGGTTGCTTTTTGGGCACATCTGCAATCAGCCTCACGAGCCTCCTGCTAAGTCGACAAGTACCAGTCAGCACTGGTCAAATCATGCAAAGGGAATGGGGAAAAGTTGCTGTTGGGACATCACGTCACAGGCCAGGAGATGTGCCATCCCAGCATGGAACAATAGAAGCGAGCGGCTTAAAGAGGCCTTCAGATCTGGTTGCAGATCGTTGGGGTCTGCCTCATCGCAAGACTCAAGCCAGACATTGGAAGTTGAAACAAAATGTGGATGTTGGGAACCCTGACTGCAACTGCCAGAGACGGCAGGAAACTGCTGAGGTGACAGGATTTCACAGGTCTGGACTGAGGAACTGCGGCACATGTCCGACAGGTGCTGTAGGATTCAATTCACTTGGGAACTAAGTTTCTTGCCTTTCAAAGGAAGGCTCTGAGGGAGCCAAAAGGCTAAAAGATAGGAGTTCACATTCTGTGGGAACCTCAGCCTCGGCTGCCCAGGATCCTTCGGCAGTGTGTTTAAGGCCATGATCGCCGATTCTGGCGTCGTGATTGCTGTGAAGGCCTGTTGGCGTCGGGTTTGGAAAAAAGCTTTCGCAGCTCCAAGCAAGGAATCTCCCTGCAAAAAGGGCCCTACAAGATAGATCAATTTTACAAATTGTTTGTTCGCTTTGTATAGTTTTCGGTTGTCGAACTCATCTGCAGATGCTAGCACCTTGTATTCAAGCCGATCCTTCCCAAGCATTGTTGGAGAAGTGAAAGACCACTTTGGGTTGGGGGGGGGGGGGAGTGGTGTGACTTGACCGTAGTGGTCCAGCTGAATGGCTTGGGCATTTTGATGTTGATGATGATGATGATTATGATGATGATCTGAGCGGCCCCGTGTTTCCATGGCCGCATGCTAAAGTGCGAAGCCCTCAAAGCCACACTCTTCGACGATACACTCGAGGCGAGCAGGCAAGAAAGTAGGCGAGCCAGATTCAGATCCATCATCCTCTTCGGCACGATGTTTCGACGTTGGGAAGTTAGCTGTGGCCTTGGCTGTTTCTGGGGACGCTTTTCGTTGCCGGCCATGTGCGCGGGCACGATCTGCGGCCTCGGCATGGGTGGCTGATTCGCTGGCCGTGGCGCTCATCACATTTAAGGTTTAAAACTTCCGAGCATAAGAAAGAGTTTCAGGCTTGCTGGGCTTTGCCAGAAGCATGGATCAGTGAGATCGGATGGGGGCGTTTCAAATTCTCATCCAAGCCTAACTTCCCCAGCTCGACGTTTCACCCAAACGAATTGAGACCTCGATTCGGCTTACATGGTGAGGGATGAATTTGTGATCTCTCACCATCGTTCAAGCCCTCTTCAAACCTGCAGGAGAACTGGGAGCCACTTTCAAGAAAGGGATACAAAGGGCGCAGTTCATCTAATCATTGAAACCATGTTTCTGGCCAACCCTTTTTCTTTTGGCTTATGCCACTTCCCCGGTACAAGCTGGCGCACACTGCAGACCTTCAGGAAGTGTTCATCGACGTGCAGAGAAAGCCAGACGAGAAGCTGAAGGCCTGCATGGGGGGGCCCACGGCCCGGCCTAAGAAGAAAGAAAAATGCAAATGTATCCGAATAGGACCAACTTGGCTCCACTTACCTCGTTTGCTATCACGAAAGCTAGCCTAACTAGGCTTGAGCTTAGTCTCTGCTTTAGCAGGAGGACAGGCTTACACTCCTGCGATTGCGCTTTCCCTGAAGTATCAAAGGTTCGTGAGGGCGGGTGGGATGAGAGGGGGGGAAAGCACCGAAACAGGCACAGACTGCCTTTCGCGCTGGACCGCGTCCTTGCAGCAAGCAGACTATTGTAGCAGTTCCAGCGGACACGAGCAGACACCAGCGGGCTCACCCGACCCCGACCCAGCAGGTCCAGCGGACTCCCCAGCGCACAGCAGACAAAAGACTTGACTGGCGAACTCAGACCCAGCGCACTGCCCCGCCGGGACCCAGCTCCAGCGGCTCCAGCGGACCAGAGCCCAGCGAAGGCTTCAGATCAGGAAACTTCGGAGCGGGTAAAGAGCGTTTCGATAGAATGGTTGCTATACATTTTGCAGGACCCGCCACTTAGAGCCGCTCTCAGCCGTGCCGGGGTCGGTGGATTCTTGAATTGACTGGGCACTTTTTGCAGCGCAGCATGGCGCGCAGCCAGTCCAGCGTGCTGCCAGTCCGGCGTGGTACGCGGAGGGTAGATACATGGTTCGATGGTTGAGGTGTTCAGCGAATTCAATTCGTGGAAGGTGCAGCTGGAGAACGAGATCGAAGTGATGCGAAGCTTAAGGCAAAAGTGCTGAAACTGTTTCATGCTTTGGGATTTAGGATTCTGCTTCAATTGCGTTTGACGCAGGCATCCTCACATTGTTTCCTACTACGGCTGCCACTGGGCGGACAATCACCTCCAGATGTACCTGGAGTACATGGCCGGTGGTTCCCTTGCCCAGGCTGTTCGACGAGCTGAGCTGCGTTGAGGGTCACCTTTCGTGTGTTCTTAGGCCGATCCTCGCAGCAATCTTAGACTCGAATCCCAAACGCAGACTGCAGATTGCAGATTCCTCAATTTCTTGTTTTCGGTATATCTGGCATCTGAGAATCTTGAAGCCTCCGCGGAGGTTCTCGCCAACTTTGGCCCTTTGGAAGAGTCGCTCATCGTGCGGTACACGCGGGAGACCCATGGGGGTCAAGCTGGGACACCAAATAAATAGCCCAACACATGTCTGCAATGTTCGTAAACTCGAAACCACATCGCCTCAAGCTTAGGGATATGACCTGTAACAAGAGGGGGGAGAGGGAGAGAGAGAGAGGGAGTTGACAGAACGAGAGCGATGATACGTGGGAGTGAGATGTGGGAAAATGGGTGGACGCAGCAACACTCAGGGCGGACAGCGTCGGGAGCGGACTGAGCTTCGTGATGCCGGCCAAAACGTGGGACGTGGGAACATTGCAAACATAGTTTGGGCGGGGGGGGCTGTGCATCCTGAGCGGGTGAGCATAAGGCCAAGGAGATCCGGCTATCCCTGATCAGCTCTTGGAGTTGCGTGCGCGTGTTTGTTAGTGCAAGGTCAGGCGACAGACCCCACGCGCCGTCAGTGTTAACATGCCAGCCGATCCTGCTAATGGTGGAGGAAGCATGAACTCTCACACGACCCGGGGCTACTTAATTGCTAGAACTTACTGTTCTTGAGATTCTTCAGATCAGCAATAAGAACGGCCCATAGACCCAGACACCACAACCCCCGAATGCATTGCCTCTCCAAGGCAGCAGCTCCTGCTTGGCGGGGGGCCCACAGACAGTATCCTTCTAGTATCCTTCTAGGTCCGGCTTGTGCCCGGCTGGATTGTATTTCCCTCATGATGCCGAGTCCTGGGATTTGCCATGGCAAAATGTTAAAGTAAAGAGATTCAAAGCGATCTAAGGGAGCATGATGTTTCAAAGTGTGATGGCACCGTCGATGCACGAGGCTTAAGTGCAGACCTCTGCCAGAAAGCAAGGTGACCATGCATTTAGGAAGGCTACATCGCTTCACACCTTGGGCGCATGTTGCTATTCGCATGAGAATTGGCAGAGCGGCACCTCACTGCTGTCAAACACGCAGTGTGGCAAACTCGCTTCTGAAGCTGTTCAGCCAAGTCTGCATTCCTGTTCTCGAGCTGTCCGACTTCGTCGTCAGGTCTGGAGTATTTGCACACCCAGAATCCGTACATCTTGCACCGCGATATCAAGGTGGACAGTGTAGACTATCATCCTAGTGGCTCGTGCTGGCGACCGCCTAGCATGACAGCGTTTGTAGTTCTTGTTCAAATAAAGTTTTCAGTTCTCAGGGAATCTAAACGCAGGTTTCCCCTCGATGCTTCCAGGAATTCCATAGGCACCCCCATTTTTGTTTACTTGGTTCTTGCGTTTGGTTCTTTTCTTGATGTGGGTTTCCGATGAAAATGCTTGAAGAAATAAAGTTACAACAAACAGGACAAGTAATCAAAGAAACAAAAAGTAGTTATAGCCTTGCAAGCTTGCTTGATAAAGAATCTAAGAAGGCTATTGAGTCATGCCATAAAAACATGCGAGTCCTTTCCGAAGCCGTCATGCGAGCATTCCCCCCTCCCACCCACAACCCCCAGCGTTTTGTTTTTTTGAAGCCTTGCAAGCTTGCTTTAAAAGAAGATGATGCCATAAAGATGACTTGTGTTCAATTGGGGGGCGGAGTTGCCCCCGCCTCCCCCTTCTCGCCTCGCTTCAGCTATCCAGCCTTTCTAATGCGTGAAGTTAACTCGAGAACAAGGATCAACGTGTGTTTCTTACAGGGAATTGTTTCGCTTTCTGAGAGTCAAATGGGGATTTTTGACACTAGCCTTGTCACAAGCGATCAAACGCTTGCCACAGAAAGGTGAAAGACCTTGAAGGTGCAAGTGCAAGCAAGCACTCTCCAGGAAACCTAGAGACATCTACGTCGTGACGCCCTGCGAGCACCGAGTGGTCGATCGTAGCCACAACTTTGCGGACGCTCCACACGCCAGCATCACGACACGCCGGGAGCACCGAGAGGGTTGTAGATCGTACGTAGCCAGAGAATTTCGCAGACGCCAGCATCACGACACGCTGAGAGACCTTTGACCGGAAACCTCGGTTTCCGGTGGCTCCTATAGGAAACATCCACTTTTTCCTTTGTCTTTAATCGGAAACCCATCCAAAGCAAACAGTCGCCCCATTCCATGCGGCTACCCCTGCAGGGTGCGAATGTCCTCGTGGGCTTGGACTCCTTGGCGAAACTGGCAGATTTTGGGTGCTCCAAGCGCGCCAAGGAGACCCACAAGACACCTGCGAAGACAAACGAGTCAGTGAGCAGACGAAGCGTGTAAAACATGTGTCAACATATGACAACTGAGTCCATGGGCTAGACGGGACAGAGTCCTAGACCTGCAGGAGACCACGTCTGTGACGATCGAGGGCTCAATTCCATGGATGGCACCCGAGGTTGGCGATGATGAGCATGACTTCCACACAGGGCTTGAAGCAAATACTGCCCTGATGAGAAACTTCGCTAGCCTTGGCTTCACATGAGATCACAGATCGCAGGTCCTCACGCATTCGCGCTATGGGCGAGCAGGCTGGCGCGTGAGAAGGATCTTGAGAAGTGTCGAGCATCGGAGGGACTGAGCTGCTTCCTCTGTTCAGAGGTCAGGGTTCAAAGGATTAGCTTTGCAAGGGTTTGCTAGGGTGCTCGAAGCTGAGCGGATAGATGTTGCGCAAGGTTTTGGATGCCGACCTTTCTTGCATCCCGCTCTCGTTTTCTCTTGCCGGGAAAATGTCCAGGAGTCGCAGGTTCTGGATGTGCGAAATTCATCGATAGTCAATATTGTCTTCTGTCCTACAGCTTGCAATTTCGAGCTTGAAGAACTGGGGCTCCCGGCCATACCCTCAAATGCATACTTCATTGCAAGTTTTTGCTAGAATTTCTGATGTGTTGTGGTTCTGGACCAGCGACGACCTTCTTCAAGTTTGCACAACGTTTTGCAACGAACCTTTCATAGAGGTTTAAGTCGCCCTCCAAGGTACGTGGTTTTACAGCATTTGTTTTCAATGGTGATTCTTGGCCACTTTTTTGAAGCTAAAGATTCGTAGCTTGCATGCCGCTCTCAAACCTCCAAGAGTGCTGCGAGGCGACATATGGAGTTTCGGATGCCTGGTGATTGAGTGCTCAGACTTGCACTGGTCGGTGTAGCTGTTTCCTAGCTGTTTGCAGCTGTCCGTGTACGTTGGCGATGTTTGGCATGTTGGACAAATCTTGAACCTGCCCACCGAACTCCTGGCACACCACGTGAGAGCAGAACCAAAGCTAGACCACCCAGAGGATGCGACTTTGCTTGAAGCATCTTGAAGGCCAAATTGCAACCTCCCGTGCTGCCATTGCCTAATTGAGGATGGCTACGGCAGATTCGCCGTGGGGGCATTTTGACAACTTGATGGCAGCGCCCGGCACCCAGGGTCCCCAATGGTCTACATCTGCAGGATAACCCACAGGAAGTTCTTTCTCAAGAGCTGGTAAGGCATTGTCTTGGCTGCCTTGGAGTCAGCTAGTATTCGTTCTCAACCAATTCCGGGCATTTGCCTGCCGACCAGTTGCCAAAGCCCTCAAAGCCCTTAGCGTCATGAAATGCATTGCCAAATCATGGCCAGGATTCTGAAGATCGGCATGTCAGGAGAGTTGCCGCCGATCCCAGCCCCGACCTCGGCCTTCGGCACGTTCGGTGACTTCAGGGCATGCTTTAGGCCGTCAGGCTTGCGGTTTAAGGAGTTGGGGGATACCTTAGATTTTCAGTGATTCGATACTGTCTTCGTGTTGCGATGAGATCTGTGTGGCCCTGGCTTTTGAGAGATTAGAAGGGCAACAGCCGCTGGGGAGTTCGGTAGAAGTACATGCGCTGGCTGCTTCTTGGTCGAAGAGAATTAGCCTTCTTTTCCATATCCGCTGCCGAGAGCCACGACCAGGGTATTCCCAGACGTTGCGGTTCACTTGGCACATGTCTGTGGTTAATGTGCCAAGCAGAAAAGTTGATGAAATGTGGTCGGATGCAAAGGAAGCGCGTGCCCCTTAATACAAGCACATCAAGGTTCACCCAGGTTGTAACTCATGCTGCTAGATAAGATGATGCTGGGTGTCGTTCCAAGAAATTCAAAAAAACGTCCCGTTCAAAGCCTTGAAGGACACCATCTCCGCCACGTGCCACAACTTCATCCGCCGATGTACACAGCATGATCCAGGCAAGGGTTGCGTCCAGTGTGAAGGCTTCAGGTTGTGTTGTCCCACGTGTATCACGTTGGGGCACTCGCACACCCACACGCAGCAGTGCGGCTCGCCAGCACGTCGTGAATGACCCCATCCGTGCACAGTCTGCGGGGCGATTTAACAAAACACCGGGCTGTACTTTCCTGAGCTGGGCAATACAATTTTCCTGCAAGACTGATGCCAGCGAAGAGAGAGGATCCGCACTTAGTGTGCATGGCGAGACTCACACAGAAAACTGCAGAAACGGCGTAAGACCACAAGACAGGGAGGGAAACGAAGTGTGTGCAACCCTGAGGAAATCTGGCAGCTCAGAAACTAGAAGGCCGATTGCATTATCCATATAAGGGAAGCCACGGGTGTTTGTAACACAGCCTTTGGGACTCTTCAGGTTTCCACCGCGCGCAAAATGCCTCAGCAGTCGCAGGATGTTGGCGAACGTTGCAGTGACGTTCACGCATAAACTTCTTGCCATGGCTGGCCAGGAACTATCCTGTATTGCAGCGGCTGGCTCATAGACAGAACCAGTGTGCGGCCTTTCGAGCTGTCCCCGTGACAAAGATCAGCCAGCTTCCAGCTGGCTTACTTGGAAAGAAGCTTTGCAGACTTGGAGAACTGCAAACGGCGCCGGTGCCATCTGAAGCGAACCCTGTGGATAAGATGACAACACGAGGGCACCTCTATGCAACAAAGAAAGACAGAGGAAGGCGTTTACGCCGAATGACAAGCCAGGAGAAGCACAAAGAGCTGAACTTAGTTCAGAGGCTCAGATGTCAGTGCAGTAGAACAAGAGTTGACCTTCACTGCAAGGTAAACTGACGCCTGTTTAGACGACTTCGCCACTAAGATATAGACTTTTACAAAGAAAAGGTTGCTGAAGGATTTCATTGTTCTGGGCAGGTTGGCCTTTAGGGATACAAGTGATCCCCAAGAAAGTTAACGGCACCGGCTTATCTTGTAGAGCCAGCCGCAAATGTCTCTCATCACCAAAGAGGTCCACAAAGCACCTCAACATGAGGACATAAGGGGGCTCCTAGCCAATCCCCAGCAGAAAGGCCCCAACAAGTCACGAGTCAACCAACATTTTCTTCTTGTCAACGCAAATGCAAAAGCGTGACTCGAACTGTCTGCCCGCACCTCTGTTCCTCAGAGCTTTGCTTGAATGCAGAGGGCCTAAGTCTCTTTGACGAGGCTCAATGAGTGTGATATGGGAAAAGGCATTCTCCGTACCTACATACAATTTGTTAAAGACTCAAACTGTTTGTGGTGTTTGTGAAGCTGTGCAATATCATCTGTGTGATTGTTTATCTAGAACTTCGTCTGTTGGGAGTACCCTCTTTCCGCCTTTCGACAGGTCTGATCTGAGTGTGTTTCGGGTCAGTAAGCTTGGCAAAGGGATGGTCGCGATGGGCAAAGTTGGCCCGACTCAGAATATCCTCGCTTGTGTTCGTTGGAATTGCGGCCGGAACTGATTGACTCTTCCCTGCCAACATGACCATCTGGCTTTCCCACACAAAGGTTGCTCGAACCCAGACATCCTCATAAGTAAAATGGCACCGTTTTTGTCCTTGAAGAACCAGGCCCTTTGTAATACCCTGAATTAAACCCTTCCTTACTTCAAATGAGGCTCAGGTAAGCTCCAATGCTTGTACTCTTTGTCTGCTGCTGCAGGATTATGACGCACCTTTCTCGGCTTTTCTCTTTTTGTTTTGTCGCGCGTGGTTTGTTTTCTTCTTATGTTCCCTCTTTCTTGCTCTCTCTCTCTCTCTCTTGTCTCTCCCTCTTCCTCACACCCTCCCTCCGGCCCTTCTTTTTGTTGTCGTGCTTTCATCTCTTCCCTCGCATGCTTTCTTCGCTCGTGTTGGCGTCTAGAGTCTAGATTAAGACCAGCTGCTTTCGAAGAAGGCCTTGTTGCCTGATCCTGCCCGAAGATCTAGCTTGCTTTTCAGTGCTCGTTAACTTCATCTAGCTGTGTTGGGCGCTTTCTTGTGCAGTCTGATCCCTTTCATCACGGGCGCGACGGGCGTACGCGAAAGCCATTACTTCACCTCAACCAACCCATTCAACAGACTCATTTGTGTGTGTACCACCCTAGTTCATGGGTGCAGACAAAAAGCGTACCTGAACGTCCGCGCCTGGGCCAGAAGGCGGGACACCTGATTTTCACTATCACTTCATTTTCGTGCCCAGGATCACCTTCATCTGTTAAGCAAGGCAGTCCAATCAAGCCAGTCAAGCCTCGTACATCAACATGCAAAGGATGAGAGCTGCTGCCCCGCCTCTGCGTTCCTGCTGTAACAGATCCAAAGCCAAGCCATTTCTGTACAAGATGCAATGCCTGCAATGCCTAGATTGACCTGTTGCAATCCCCCCCCCCTCTTACTCAGGCTGGAACAGCTCTGTTGCGATTACTTCTGGCAACCTCTGTGTCACCATGGCTGAAACTCCTACAGCCCGAAGGCTACAAAGCCACTAGCGAGAAGACCGAAAGCCCAAACACACAGAAGCCAGGGGAGGCGGGTTTAAACAGAGGCTTGCCGAAAGCTCTTCAAATCCGAATTCAAACCCCATTCCGGCTGATTCCTCTTCATGCTTCGAGGCAAGCGGCTGAGCGCCACGGAACTCCTCAACGAGGATTTTGTGCACGAAGCCCAGAACATGGCTTATAGGGAGCTGTTTGAGCTGTGGGGTCCCGTGAGCTCGTGGTCCACGAGATACCGAAAGCTTCACACCTTGGGTGATGTGGGGGAAGGAGGATCTAGGTAGGCGGCGTGCATACTCGCAGGCATTGCTCACCTTAGTCCTGTGGAGTTAGCATGTGGTAGATGAAGGCTGATCATGGCTGATCCACGAGCTGAAATCACGGGCCACCATGAAGGCTTGCCGCCGATGAGGCAAACCACAAGAAAGAGGCCGGGAGGAGTCCGTTAGGAGCTTGAGAAATCGGTTGAGAAGGTTTGTAGTCTTTTTATAGCCTTGTGTTGGGCCACTCTGAAGGCAGCTCACGCTCGCCAAGCAGACGCAACTACTGAGACTTGCATGAGCACTCGTCAATTAGACTGCTCGAACCATCAAAGAGGCGATGGTTCTTCGAGATTCACATGTTGATGTTCAGGAAGCCAGCCCTCAGTGCGAGCGCATCGACGAGGCCGATTTTGCATGTTCAGTGGTCCTCAACCAATGATTTCGGCACCGCGTGACTGGTCACCCAAGGAAGAAGCGGAAGACCTTCTTCCAGTGGGATGGGAGCGACACTTTGACTCTAACTGGTCGGCCTGGTGCCCTGGGGGGCACTTTGAAACCTCCGAGCCGTTAAGAGCTTAGGCTCGAGGAGGGTTGCTGCTTGTTGCGGAGGTCTTTTTGGCAGTCGTTGCTTCTGCCTGAAGCTATGGCACGGGGATGTACAAGATACAGATTTGCGTATGCTTCATCTCCGAATCTCAGATTTATAGCCAAGCATCTAATTATTGTCAAGGTGCACTGATGTGCGATAGATTTTGAGACCCGGCTCTCGGAGCCAACAGGTACTATTGGCACCGCAACAGTGGCCGATCGCAGTGGGCCAGGCCAAAGGAGGACGAAGCAGATGCCGAGGAGGCAGATTTAGGGTGATGACTTCTTTGGCTTTTTCTTAAGTTCCAGAACTGTGGAGGTTGATTCAGTTGCTTGACTTTGCCGTGTCTTTGTGGCTCGGTAACAAGACATTGAACACTTGGAGCACAGGAAAGCGCCTCACAGCGCAGCGGCAGAAGTGGCAGAAGCGGCAAAAGCTCTCAAGGAGCCTCGGCTCACTTGCGTGGACGTCAGAGCTCGGAGTGTCCATAGTGACATGGTGCGGTTATGCTTGCTGGGTGTTTGCTGGGGGGTCCAATCTCTATAAGTGAGTTAGTGGGGATTTTTAGGATCTCGTGAACCAAGGACCAGGGTACTTTCCGCAGACTTTGCCTGGATACGTGAGTGACGAATGCTAGGGTTTGAGCAAGCTGAGCAAAACTTGGCCTTTGTTGGCCGCCAGTGTGGAGATGAAGAGGGATTGGCCGGACTTCTTCTAGCAAACCACTCCTGCTCCCAGCATCTCAGTAGCACACTACTTCCTTCATTTGTACAGCAACTAAGTGCACCAATGTGCACCGTAGGAAGTGTCGAGGCCAGGCTTGCTTAGCCTCAGCGACTGCCTAGATGCCACATCCTCTCCGTTGGCATTGGAATTCGAAGCCTCTCGAAGCATTTCGAAGCTTCCCGCTCCAGCAGTGATCAATGCATGTCAGTGCTACTGCTGTGCAAGGAACTTGTACAGTTGGACTGTTAGACTCTGCAGCAAGCCCGAAGAATACAAAGCAAGCAACCTGCATTGCTTTACGGCCTCAAGCAGCAGCTCCGAACCAAGAGAAGGGCGCAAATTTGAACTGCGTGGGGCCGCGGGGGCATTGGGCAGTATGACAAAGTCCGCTTTAGGCTAGTCAAGCCTGGCCCTCACCATCTTTTGGCCCCTGCAGACGGCACACACCGATCACGTGTGGGAGTCAATCACGGTTAATATCGTGTTGAGGATGTTGAGGATGTTGAGGAGAGGTGGCCCTGCAGCCCTACGCATTTCCCGCCGTAGGCGGAGTGTCTCACTGGATAGGTTATCCCTGTCCCCCAATGGCTTGTTTGTAAATCCAAACATCCGAGATTGCATGACGTTTGCATTGTTGCATGCCTATCTCCCCCTAGCCTCGGACAGACCTCGAAGAGGCAGCCAATCGTTTGGCATGCTGAGACCAGAAGGCAAGATTTGCCTTCTGGAGCCCAGCTTAGACTCTAAGGCGAGGACTCCAATGAACGAAAAGCATGAATGCCTTTGAAGAGGCTTCATGACGCTTGGGACAGTGAAGGGTCACCAGTGTGTGCTTCACGAGTCAGTGAGCCACTGTTGCCGGGGGCGGGGAGTCGATGGCAGGCCTTGGAGATCCGCCTGCGATTCGCACGTGCAGCAGACCTGCCCGAAGCAGATGGGAAGGCTGTGTGAAGAGTAGCAGGGAGTGGCGCCTCATGCTCGCGAAAAGCCTCACGTGTCACTTCGGAGACGAGTGCCTGAGAGAGTGTTTGCTTCCGAGGGGGGGTTCCATCGATCCATCAACCGTGTGCATGTAGCCAAGTCGCTGTGAGCCACGCAAGCACATGGAGATGACTGTCTCAGCTTCTGAACATCTCGGAAGTGAGGTGTTGCAAGTCATTCTACCCCTTTGGTCCTAACCACAGCCGGAACAAGGGCTCCAGTTGGAGGGGAAGTGTGCTTGCTTTGCAGGCAAAAATCCTGTCAATGCTTTCAAGTCACTCAAGGTCTTTTCAGGGAATGGCCGGCCCCAGCCATGATCCACTTCAAGGGCTCTAACGGAAGTTTAGTTCAAGTATACACACACATATAAAAATAACAATATAGATATAGATATATATGTATATATATATATATATATGCACACACACTTCACACGCGCCCACCCACACACATAAGCAATCAACACGACATCAGCCATCAAAGAGCAGCCAGCAACTGATACAGCGTGGCTAGAAGCTCGACAGCTCAGCTGCCTGCATAATGGCTGCCATCCAGCTTCACTTGTGCTCCGTCGGCATCCCATGACATCAGCAAGAACATGCTAAATGCAGGGTTTTGACTAGGGAGGTTTGCTACCACAATCACCATTGCTCCACGCCCTGCGGCAAAGATCACGCATGCAGAGGTCGCAGAGGCCAGTGCTGTCGTGACGTGATTCGCTGCTTCGTGCCAAGGCTGTTGCAACTGTCAACCAACAACCGAGCACAAAAAGCATCGTCCAAGTCGGCCCCTAATATGGCAAAGAAAGGAGGAATTGTCAGTACAGCGCCACAGACTCAGCCGGGCCCTTTGAGCTTCAGAACAGTTCTCCCCCCGAGTTCCCCTTGGTCTCCGAGTTGGTCTGCCTCGGTGTTCGAAAAGTGGGCAGCTAAGGGAGGCTGATCAGAAATTGGGCTGCGGCTTTGTGCCTTGGGCTACCGGAGCCAAGAACGTTCGGAGCCGTATATGGGTAGATCCTGGATGGTGGCGGCTTCGATTTGATTCTTTGGGAAGACATGCCAAGAGAGCGAAATCTTGCACAACCTTGTAGAGAAGAGTGCATCCCGTACCACCGACCTTCAAAGGACGTGCAACCCCCAAACTCCAAAAAAACCAATTTCGGCAAATTTCGGCAATTTCCGGAGCCTTCAGAGTCAGTGCCGAGGATGTCACAGCGAAGGAGACCAAGGTCTCCAAGGTTCAAGCAGGCCCCTTTGGTTGTCATGCTTTTGTCATGCTCTGTGCTCCGTGTCTTTACATGTTTTTTTGGAAGCAGTTGTGGACTTAGCACAACTCGGTTGATGATATCGGGAACGACTTCGGCAACCAAGGCTCACTGGCAGAGCAGCACCTTGTATTTGGATATCGGATCGGGAGGAGCAGTGCGTCTCAGGCGTCATCTGTTTCGAGTCTGGAAGGGCTGAACTTATTGTTGTAGTTCAGGGGGGTGAAGCTGGACGCCACCGATGTCTGCAACGCGCATCTGCACAAAGCGGGTGAAAAAGCATGATGTTTACACCAGCTCTGTGTGGCTGCCTGTGCGTTCCAGAGTACACTTGTCGCACTTCAGGCAGACCATCCGAAGTAGTAGCTCTTGAAAAGCTCCAAACCCACAGCTCAGGCACCATGTTGCGCCTGGCCACTACTCCTGCAACGGTGGGTTTCCGGGTGCAGGCTAGGAGCGAGGCCAAGCAAAAGGTGTTATGCACGTGCAGCCAATCTATTCAGGCACAGTTTGTGGGGGTCTTACATGCAATGTTCTAGCGGCTGCGGCGACGTGCTACAACTCGTTTCGTGTACCCCCGCGGGCGTTCGCGGCGTTCCCCGTTCTTCTCACAGATGAGGACAGTTGGATTGGAAGTTCCGAAGTTTTTGCAAATGAAGATGCACAAAGGTCTTCATGCCGGGTTTGGCTATCCTTTGTCCACGCATTGGAACTGACAACCTGCTGCACAAGCAGCCCTCATAAGGATTCGTCCTTGTCACCATCAACGGTGGCCCCTGCCATGGCATGGTGGCGTCTTGCCTGCTGCACAACATTCTTTGTGAAAAGCCCACCCCAACGTCGGACTGAGATAGCAGGGGCCTGCTAAATCCTTCTAGGTTCTAGTAAAGATGCGGTAGCTTGTTTATTTGACACTGCCTATACCGTGTTTGGCAGAGTCCGACCCATGTCAATGTGGCCAGGTCGTTGTTTAGCAGTGAGCGTGTGTTGATTCTGAGCTTGGGTGCGGAGGCGACTCGGGCGATTTGCCAAGGTGCATCGGTAGGCATGTACTTGAGAAAAGATGGGTTCAAATTCCAATGCTAGGTATTCATCAATCTGAAACATGGGGCATCTGTGGGGGAGAGGACTCGATGGTAAAAGGAGGCCTTTCTCTTAAAAATTCCACGTGCATTGGGAACCAACTGCTCGGGTGTGAGGTTGGCACTTTCCATTGACCTATAGAACGGCAAGCCTGAAGTTTCCAGGAAAGGGGAGGGCCGAGTGGTGTAAGCGGGCGGAGAGATACGATGATGCAACATCCTGAGAAATTCTGCAGCGTAAGTGTTTAGTTAGAACGATTGGAAGTGGTGCCTAAACACTCACCTAGGTATTTTACTTCATCCGCTACGGTATGGGAATGTACACTCCTACACTTGGACTGCACTCGAAAAACGCGTTATATCATAATTGTAGCGCGGTTTAGCTCACCGTGCCGTGACACCTAGTTATTCCCCCATCGGCGTTGCGAGTTTGCAAGCATTGTAGCTGAGGAAGCAGACATCAAGCAGAAGTTGAAGGCACAGAGTTGCTTCCTCTTGGCTTTTGTGGAGTTGTTGGAGTTCGCAAAGAGTTTTCATTTCTGTGAATCTCCACCGCCTCCACCCCATGTTGAAGAACAACCAGTGCCTCGAAACAGATAGGGTGCAGCAAAACTTAGCAGTGTACCTGGACCAAAAAGTGTAGACACCAATGCAAAGTTCGTCTTCGCCGGCCACATCTGATTTCAGAGCAGATGCCAAGAAGACCCCGTTGCTGACTGTTTTTCGATATGAGCCTGCTGCCGCTGGAGTCGGGCCACTGGCTGAAAGTGCTTGAACTCCCAGCTTTGCACTGGGCATGTGTGAGGGTCCACGCCAAGCGCGCTGACAAACTTGAGAAGGGAATTTGCACACCGTGATCATGCCACATAGTAGCTATAGTGCCTGGCCTGGGGTTTTGGCCTCATGTGCCCACATGTCCAAGAGCCCAAGAATGCCCAAGAATGCCCAGAAGCGGTCCGATGCAGGAGCGGCCGCTCAAGCTCTCGCTGCGGCCACCTGCAGAGGTCCGCAGACTGGAAGTTCACTTGTTCATACTAGGAATTCAGCGGATCGCTTCTGCCCACTTGATGGCTTCATTGCCTCCAGATGGCTGTGACGAGCCTGCTCATCCCACCAACAGGTTCTCAAGGTGGCTGTGTGTGGCCGGATGCTTGCCGGGTGCTGTGTCGCTGCTGCGCCGGGAAATCTCTTGGGAACTCACCCAACTCAGGGTCTCAGAGTGCTGGTGAAGCACGTTTCAGGATGCCCATCACTCACCGCGAAGAATTTGGCCAGCCCTCTACACTTTCGGGAAGGGGGGGGCGGGGTGGGGGGCATTGCAGAGAAGAAGATCAAGCATTGAGACTGTCAGCAGGAACGAGGAGGCATTCGAATTCGCATACATGGGCAGCTACACATAGCCCAAACAACTCGCAACTGCCCTGGTGTCCAAAGATGGCTTCTTGCCCGGCTTTCCATTCTGTTCCTACTGAACCTTCTGGCCCTGAGCGCCATGGAGGCCTCAAGTGGAGGAGAGACCACACGGCTTGGTGGGCCGTGTGGGCTCTTGCTTTAGGGGAAAAAGGGAACATCTTGGGGCTTCTTAGCGGTTTATGAGGGACTTCAAGTACACAGCTTAAGGTCAGGTTTTCGGGGTCCCCTCCTATGATCCCTTAACTTATGCACATGGCCGAGGCTTCCAAGGCTGACACATGTGCTGTGAATCCAAATCGTTAACACTGGAGACTGGAGGCTTGTTGATGGCCACTCTACAGACACAAGACAATGCTGGCCTGTGCAGGGTTTATGCAGGCTTGTTCTTGATTCCAGGACCCACCGGCTGCCAAGTCAGAGAGCCTTCGGCCCAGCATCAGTTGGCACAGTGCGTTTCTTAGAACATTTGCGTTTACGCAAGAGGATGCAGGGGGTGCTCTCCAGGGCGAACTTGCTTGCAACAAAAACATTGCAAAACTGTTGGTCTCACAATATCAACGTGACTTATTCAAAAAAGGCGCACCGCAAGCTGCGAGCTTGTCCTCGACGGACGTGTTCACAGCGATGGTCTCTGAGGGCGGCTTGGGCTTCAGCGTGAGCCACCTGGCGGGAATAAGCGTAACGTGGGAAAATGAAGAGATGTTGCTGGGGGTTTTGGGCGGCTTCTCAAAAAGCCTGTGCGCAAACATCCGGCTCTTAAAGCCTGCAGGCCTCAACATGAATTCGACCCTTTACTGAGTTTTCTGACCCGCCATCTGCGATGGGTCGGTCGATCAGCCCCACTTGCAGCAAAGCTGCACAACATCAGCACCGAAGAAGAGGTTTGTGCACGTCGGAAGCTGTAAGCCCCAAATCTCATCATACAGGTTTCCCTACAAAAATATGAAAATACACACACACACATGTATATATATACACATAGAAAATATAGTTTTTCCCAGGCAAAAACAAAGACAAGACACAGGTGTTCCCCTACTGAAAAATTGAGAAAAGAGCGACTATCTGATTCTGTGAAGACCGTAAAGGTTTCCCTAGGAGAATATAAACGCAACAAAGGTTTTCCTACAAACATATCGAGAAAATTGAGATTTTCCTGTTCAAACACAACAATTAGAGATTTGATATCCTAAGGAAAATCGAGAAACTAGAGGCTTTCCGATTGAACTATAGAGAAAATACACATTTCCCTATCGAAACATAGAGAGCCCACCACCATCCCACCAAAAAAGGGGGATCCACAGCAAAAGGCGCAACAAGAAACTCCACCGTGAAGTCCCATTCTGAGGCCAGATTCCGCCTGCACCCACAGTCCTGGTGAAGAAGGCTACGTGGGGTTGCGCCGGACCATAGCTATGCAGCCGTAACAACCGCAGCGTTGACGCGCGAACACCGTGGACGCCGACCTTTCTGCCCTGGAGAGGTGGATGCGGATGGCTGGGCAGCCGCTCAGGGCCACTTGCTGAGCTCTCCAGACTGTCAGGCCAAACTCAATTTAAAAAGCTTTTCCTTGCACAAGTGCCCCAAAGCCACATGCAATGTCAAAGCACTTTACTTTACCCCAAGCCTGAGTCAGAGCTCCGAGGGGTTCTCGAAGGCTATGAACTCTTGGAGGCCTGCTTGGGATGGCTTTGGAGGTGTTGCGCTGCGGGTTTTGGGTGCTGATTCACCGGATTGCTGAGAGTTTACGGAATATCTGTTGCGCACCACCTTTGTCCATGTATGGGCTTGAAATTCTGAAAGCAGGTGCAAGGAGAGGCAACAAGCACAATGTCTCAGGACCGAAACAGGGTGGAGAACTCGAATGCTAAGACTCTTCAGTTTCGGTGATAAAGGACACTTGGCTGTTTCCGTTTGCTGTAGGCGAACATTCCTGTCCAGCAGCACTGGCTATGCTGCAGCATGTTAGCACTTCTTGACCTTTTATATTTGTGCAGCTTCTCGCCTGGCGTTTGCATGAAGGACAGCTTTCGCGTGGCCATGAAGTCGCGGAGGCCTGATGTGCACACATGTGTAAAGCTATCGCAGGTGATACAGGCATAGGAACTTTCGACGGTCACAGCTGTGCTGCTTGCTGCCGTCAAGAAAGGGGTGTGGATGTTCCAGTCGACGTCATCGTTCTTCTGTTGATGAAATCGTCGGCTTGCCTTCTTGGGTTCCGTGTTCAGGGAACTCGCCTTTTTGTAGGTTGAAGTTGCAGTTCATGGGGCCAAAACTTTGTCTCAGTGCATGGCAGGCCACTGTCACTTACTTTTCGCCGAGCAGCCCCAGCGAGCCCTGACAGTATTATGCTCACCGTTATTGGCTAATCTTTCTGTCAGAATGGTGTTGGGTTGATGTAACATCTTTCAAGAGGTATGTGCAAAAGAGCGTTGCAGACGTTGCGGCTGCTCCAGCTGTTCTCCGGATTCACGCATGTCTTTCGCCCAAAGTTGTGAAATTTGAAATTATGCCCTGGCTCCATACTTCTTCCTTCACGAGGATTGGGGGTTTCTTCAGACTGCAAGGCTCTGACTCTGGTCCCAAGAGTTCATCTTCCAGCAAGACAATATCTGAAACTTCAGGGATGTTGGATTAACAGACGACATGTAAAGCACAGCTAGCCCAGGCTACAAAGTCAGAGATGCCTTCAGCATTGAAGGATCGCATCTAGTTTCGCTCCCATGGGCTCCGGTGCATCTGCTGGCGCATCGACGCCGACACTGCCCTGGCCCGAGGGTGCGAAGGTCGTGCTGCGCCCAGGCATTGAGGGGATGCCCCGTGTCCTCACCCTGGTCCTGGCTCAGTAAAAACCCCTGATTACAGACCTTGAGCCTAATCAATGATCGTCCTGGCACCTCAGTTGCAGGCCTCCATTACGTAGAACTGCATGCACATGAACCTACAGAGCTTCCCCAGATGGCGCGCTGCCAGAAGGGCTGAAGACAAGTGGTCCGACACCGTCGACGGAAAACGGAGTGCCCTTTTGGAGGCAAGGCTTCCACAGCTTTGCAAAAAGAAGGCATGGTGTGGGTCCTCGCCTTTTCTTCTCCCTCTCTTTTTCTCGCTCGTTCTCTCACTTTTTCTCGCTCGCTCTTCTCGCTCCCTCTCTCGCGCTCTCTCCCTCTCTCTCTCTCTCTCTCTCGCTCCCTCTCTTCCTCTCTCGCTCGCTGCAGCGCGGCGCGTCTATCAGTCAACACTGAAGGGTCTCTTTTGCGATGCTTTTCCTTTGGTGGACATGTCATGTCCTGGCCTGCTGGGCCCCTTGTCTGCTCTTGTTTTGGCTACCCGGTCTTCTCGTCCCGTGGTCCACTGGTCCACTGGTCCTCCGGTCTTGCTGGTGCTGTGCAGAAGTTGTTCCAAAGAATGTCGTTCTTTCAACACCCACATTGACATGAATCCTGTCCAAAGCCATCATGCGAGCGTTTATGGGGGTTTCCAAACGTCGGCTGAGAGGCTTGGCGGCCCAGGAAAGGGTCGGCTCCGGGTGATCGAAGATCCGGCAGGGCTCCTGGAGCTGAAGGCGGGCAGCAACTGCTACAGCCACTGTTAGAAGGCCTTGATGCAAAATCAATGTCTTGTTGCCAAGTCAGGCTGCAGTCAAACTGGTCATGACTCGTTCGGCTGCCTATGCATGCCTATGCCAACAAAAGAGACCAAAAGGGGGTGACCCAAAGAACACTAAGCGGACTTCAAACACCCTCAGCACACCCCTCAACATCCCAAACCAGGCCCAGGGACGCAACTTCTGTGCATCGTCATGCACCTTGCAACGCGGGTCTTGACCTTGCACTTCGTCCTCAGAAAGCGAGAATAACTGACTTCAGACGTACTGCATGCTGGCGACGCTGAGTGTTTGATGATTCCTGTACGACATGCGATGGCGTTGGACACACCTACTGATGATGGAGCCGGCCAAGTTTCAAGATCACTGTCCTCGATTGCTGCCTAGGTCTCCTCTAGCTGTTGCCAAAGTTCCATGACGACACAATCCATCCGATTTGCCACAATCTCATTAGCCTCGCCTCCGTGAGTAGCGAACTCTCGCATCTCTTGGCGAGCCTGGCTGCGTGATGCTTCCAGGATGTTGTTCTGCTGGAAGTTCGTTTTTCGTTGAGTTGTGCTTCCTGGCTGTCCAGCGGAAGGGCCTTTTTGACTTATAGATGCTTATCGCCTGCAGTCCTCAGACAGGGAGCAATGAAAACCGGTAAGTCTACCCTTTTGCTTGGGGACATTTAAGCCAGAGGCAGCAGTCACGCGCGAGATGGCAGCCCACAAAAGTAATCAGTAATGCCGAAGGCAGCTGATGTCACCACACACACACAAACACACATACTCCCCACTCACAGCGGTTTCACGATGTGGAGAAGACCGTACGTAACAACTCCACGCACTACAGTGTAGCATCAACCTCAAGCTGAAGCCGACTTGCCCCGATGCCTTTGCAGGAGAACTTCACTGTTGCCGTTTGCTTCCGCCCCGTCGCCAGTGATGCGAAGGGCTGGGACAGCCTGCTGATGGGCCATGTGCCTTGGGTGATTCTGATGCGGTTCTAATGGTTCTAATTGTTTGCATCATTGCTCAAACGGCCCGAGGTGGTGCGGAGCCAAGTGAATCTGCCAAGACACGGCCAGCAAAATGCAGCTCAGGACAACAAGCATTGGCTGGCCATGCCCGGCGACAACAAGACCAAAGTCTGCTGCTCTGGCTAGGCATGTGTGTGGATGCCAAATAAAGTACGCTTTTCGCAAGTGATTTCATGTGGATTGCACACCTCTGCTCTTAAAAGTTTAGAGTGCGAGACAACTGAACCTCACAACGAGGGTCAAGATCCAGGCCGGGGTTAGCTGTTCTCCGTGCTTCCGATCCACAAACATTGATCCCAATATGTCTAATATGTGTCAAAAGCTTAAGGCAGGGCCCGGACAAACCTAGGCTGCTTGGACGGCGAGCACTCCTTGGAGGTAAATGCAGATTTCTTGGACCAGGCTGTGTTTGCAGTTCGTAGGCAGGCTTGACACAGTAGACTTCTGTCCACAGCTTGCCCTCCCTGCTGCATTCACGACCCCGCAAAGACTTGTCCCCAAGAAGAGATGACAGAGCCGCGCAGGGATGGATCCAAATCTTCCTCCGTTCCGTGGCCGGTGCGACCTCTGTCCTGGGCGTGGACAAGGTTCCGTCGATGGATTCACGGGTTCTCATATCAGACAAAGCAAGCTGCGGTGACACGTAGGATCGGCCAGCACGTGATGACATTTTGAAGCGACTGCATGAAATGCAAGGGCAAGCGTCAATTCGGTGAACGCCTCCACACTCTTGGATTGTGCTTGTTTTGGTGTAGAAAGTTCCGAGGAGGGGCTCCTGGATTTGGGCACCTTTGCGATGTCCCTGGTTGGTTCCAAGCTGCGCAATGCAGGGTGGGCCAGCAACGAGGCGGATTGCTCTGTCACCGACTCTCACCCTTACCACTCAGAGTCGAGTGTGAACAGCCCGGCATTGGATTTTGCTATTTGCCTTTTGCTTGGTTGTAATCGTGTGTGGGTAGTCTCACAGGAAGGCGAAGCATTGCGAAGCACTCCGGATGGCCTTTTTCCGGAAGTACCCCACAAATCCATGGGCAGCGGGTCACAAAGTCAAAAGCTCGAGTTCCAGGCCTCCTGAAGCCCCCTCCCTTGCGTCCATTTTTTGGGAAACCTTGGGTGCCCTCGAGGTAGACATCGCCGCGGTCGCATTCTGGGACCGCACCCTCACCTGGGCGGAGCTTGCAATGCTATGGCCCGAGCAGGGCATTTCCCTGGCCATTTGCACTGTTGAACCGCTTTACCGGTTGCATGGTTTGCGAAAATGGGGCAAATGACATCTCTGTTGCAAATCCCGATACAAGACAAAGTCAAATTTGAACATTTTCGATGCCTGTAAATAAGCAGAGGTGCTGTAAGCACTGTATTTGCAACTTGAAAAAATGCGGAAATGCTGTAAATTACCATCTTTGGAGCTTGTGAATCGGCAGCAATGCTGTAACCTTCAGCATTTGGAGCCTGCGAAAATGTACAGTACTGTTGTTTTTCATTGAACTTGAAGGCAGAAGTGCTGTATTTTCCCATGGTGGGAGCTTGCATTACGTAGAGCCTGCCGACAGGTAGAATGTGTGATTTTGCAGTACTTGGTGCCTTTGCGAACCAAGAACCTGCAAAAGTTGATTTTGTTGGCTTGACTGTTTTATGATCCCCGGGTTTGCATTTGTTGGTCCTTATTCGATTCCTTGGGCATATGGGGGCCTTCCTGCGTTAGCTGATTTCAGGCCTCCGCCCACCGTGGCTGCGCCGCCAATGCCGCCTTCGGACACACTGGCCAAGCGAATCTTTGGTCAGGCCAGTCTGAGTTTTTGGGAGTTGAATTCTTTCTCGGAGCCATGGTGCCCCTCATTGTGGTAGAAATCGTTGTAAGAGGATTGAGAAGAGCGCAACACTGTTTGTGACTGTTTGAGGTCACTGACCTGGCTGGTGAACCACTCAAGGACCAACGCGGGCCCACTCTGCTAATGGGAATCCCCGGTTGTCCAGATGGGTTGCGGAAGTTGACAGGACGGGCTGTAAATCTTTGGTTTGTGCAGGACGTCAGCATCAAGTGGAAGACGGGCGGGTGCATCTCAGATGACGAGGAGTCAACTGCTGACTGTGCTTTTTAAGTGCCCAAGCCATATGTGCCGTTTTAAACCATGGAGTTGTCAGCGAATGCCAACGGGCTTCATGACAAGCATTGCTTTGTCGGTTGACGTTATCATTGCTACCCTTCGCACTTTCGAACAAGATTCTTGTAGCCAGGAAGGGCCGTAAGGGTGCTTCAGATCTTTGTGCCTTCTGTACTTCTGTCCCCTACTACTGTGCTAGAAGCCCCGCCGCGCAAAATTTCCTGACACAAATTCGACACCAAAATATTTCACATCTTGTGGTAAGGCATGGCTTTTTGCCGATGATCTGTCTAACAAGATCTGTGTGTGCACTGGGGCGTTTGCAAGTTTTGGTTGCAACCTGCGGAAATGTTGCCTGCAGCGTGAGAACGACGACTACTCCTGTTTCAACTTCTTGCTCACTGCATCAGCACATTGCCCTGCGTTCCTGGTTGTGCGTGTACAATTCGTCACATCAGCTCCCTGAAAACAGCCTCATGCAGAACTGCGGTAACTACGGTATTGACTGACAGAGCTTTTGACAGCATCGTCCAGCCAGGGGAGTTTCGAGGCGCTGCTGGAGGATGCAGAAACTGATGTGCCAGAGGAGCCCTTTCCCGCAC